ACTGACTTCTCTGAACTGGCAGTTGCTCCTTGTCTTTGCCGCAGGTTGGGCATCCTAAAAATAGACGGTACCTAAAACACAAGCTCTGGAAAATGCACTCTGAATCCCTGCCAGCGCTGGAGCAGTGCTGGGGTGGCACGGGGCGCAAGGGAGCACCCCAGGAGCTAGAGAAGGGCTGGGAAAACTGAGGAAACTGAGGCACGGAGGCCAGCAGAGCAATGCAGGAGATGCATGGTCCTTCTCACCCATAACTTCAGCAAACTTCCCCCCTTTCCCTGCAGTGCATGGCCTGAGCGTGCAGGGCAGCAGCATCCCAGGGGATTTCACCCCAGCTGCATTTCCCTCGCCATCCCGCTGCCCAGCCCAGCTGCTGGCCTTCGAGGACTAAAAGGGCTTTTTCTCTCCCGTGCCCTGCTCCTGCTGGCACCGCGCTGCTGCCGGGACAAACCCAGAGTTGCTCCTGGCTACTGCCCGGCTGCAAACAGCCAGATGCTGCCCTCCCCTCACGTCGTGCTTCTCTGCCTGGGGCTGCCCCAGTCGTGTCCCCTGTGCCCCACTGGGGACAAGAGGGTTTTGCCGAGTGCTTAAAGCCCTGCTTGGTCTCCCCAGCCTGTCCTGTGGGGGCCTGCAAGCCAAACAGGGCTGAGCATGGTGCCAGCGCTGTAGGGACTGTCTGGGGGAAAGCAAGGAGGTGTTTTCCTCTTAGGAAGGCTGGTGGGTGCATCATCATCTGAAATTACCGTCCTTCTTAGCCTAGGATCAACCCAATGTGCAGACCAGCAATGAACACAGTCCCAGGGCCCTGGGGCAGGGGAACACACTGGCATGGCACCCACCATCTCCTCTTCCCAGGCTGTTCCCTCACACCCAGCAGTACACATCTTCCCCTCCTGACACGACTCAAGGGTTCCCAAACCCAAAGGCACCATCTCCTGCTGGAGCCCAGTCCCATTGCCCCCTCTCCACTGGATGGGGCTCAGCATCACCTCAGACCTCCTCAGCATGGCCAGATCCTGTCCCAGGCCCCCTCCCCCATTGCTTGCATCCAGACATCCCCCAGCCCTCCGAGCACCCCTTACCCACTACTCCAGCTGCACTGCAGCAGGGTCGTTCCCCAAACTCCCCCATCCTGGGCTACCTGACCCCCCGCACCCCCCCTGCGCCACTAACCCCTCCCACTGCAACCCAGAGCTGGGTGCATCCCCCAGTGTGGGCACGCAGCTCCCAAGCAGCTCACTGTGAAGAAGGGAAAGGTGCTCCAGGCCTTCCCTGCTATTTATTGAGCAAGCAGAGGAGCTGCCTGTCGGGCCCTGGTTAGCAACAGATCCCTCCTCGTTTGCTTAACGAGCAGCGCTCATTGCAATGAGGGCTTTGCCTTTGACTTGACTGGCTGCTGCTCTTCTGCCAGGTGCGGGAGGAGGCATCCTTGCACCTTGTACCCCACGTTCCCCCTCAGACCCCCTTTGCTCACTGTCCGTACAGCCTGGGGTGGGATATGGGGTGGGAGAGGGACACGTCTCCTTGCGGGGGTCTGCGTGCCCTGCAAGTTAGCCACACGGCTGCGAATAAATAGAGCATAAATAGAGTTGTTAACGTGCCCGGCTGGAGTAAGTGAGGCTGCAAAACCGGGCTGAGCCCTTCACAGCTGGAAAAATCAGAGAGAAATGATGTTTGATTTCTGCTGACATTTTGGAGCCGGATTTTTTGGTTTCATCTCTGTTTCCCCCCTTCGGTGGGGGCCACGCGTTGCTTTCTCTTCCTTTCAGGAGCAGGAAGATTCCTTCTCTCTCAGTTTTTCTCCCAGGGTGCCCAGGAGCGAGCTCTGGCCTCTGTGAATTTTGGTTTAGGAAGATCCAACTGCTGCTTCAAACAACCTCCCAGCGCGGTGCCCAGGGGCAGCCGCTCGCTCCTACCCCACGCTCTGCTGCTGCCTCCAAGCTGCCTGGCTGGGCTGGGGCGGAAGCTGCTGGAAAAAGCCCAAGGAACATAAGGAAAGGCCCGGGGCTGGCGCTGGGGCTCTTTCCTGCACCTCTCTGCGGGGCTGGAGCTTCACCGGCGAACGGGACCTGCCGGAGCTGGTGCCAGAGGAGAAACCGCAGGGCACGGCATCCCAGCGTGATACCAGGGACTGATGTCCCTCAGTGCCACCTCCCTGGGCAGCGGGCACCAGCGCACCCCGGCACCAAGCCCCGAGGTGGGACAGCTCCCGCACCTCGATCCGTGGCAGGAGAAGGCTCCATCAACCAGGCAGGTCAAG